CTTTCTTTCTTGAGTTTTCTGTTTTTCACATTCTGACTGTGGAAAAGCACTTATTTTCAATATCCAACATAACTGTGATATTTTAAAATGATTGTATTTAACCAAACATTTGAATTATCTAAGTTTATCATTATTTAAGAAGTATTACACCCAAATGACAAATGGATTTTCCTTTTTCTTTATTTGATGCAGAACAATAATTTGAACTCACTGATTATATGATTGATTGATTGATGTTGTGCACAAGCAACATGTGCACAGTGATAAAAACATCTTGGCTGGAAATGGATCAAAAGAAATTTCACCATCCAAAAATGTTTTGGGATGTCCCTCTAGAGGCCTGGAGAAGTATCTCTGAAGACTACTTGAATTGCCTTAATTGGAAACAAGCGACAAATCAATCTGCTTATAGTTTTAGTCCCAAGCCCAGATAATGTGGAGGGTTGTTTAAGGAAGGGCATCTGGCATAAAACCTTTTCCATTTAAATTTGTAGTTCAAATGGGATAAGTATTCTAGAATAGAATGTTAAGGGCAAATCTCACAAAAAAAGAGAGCTCACTGATATGATGGAATGGTGGATACTAAAAATATTGTGTGTGAATGGGGACCAGGAAGAAGGGAAGCAATGCCAGGAGCATTGGAGCTGTTCTATCATAATGTTGATGTGAAGATAAATGTAGTGAGAATACTCCTAAAGGAAACATTTCTTAAAAGTGTTATAGAGATAAAGAGAGTGTCAGACAGGATTGTGGGTTTGAAGCTGGAAATTCAAGGGATGATTTTAAAAGGCAAGATTGAGCGGCGTCGCTCACATGTATACTTGTGTCATTCCATTTTAAAATCATTTATTCAATTTGTGATTTTAGGAGTTTTTAGTTTGAATGCTAAGTGTATATACATAATACACAGTTAATAATAAAGTTATTAAGATGAAATATTCAAAAAAATAAATTAAAAAATTAACCCAACTGAAAATTTCCATTTTTATAGACTTAATGGCGATTTTTCAACAGGAATCCAGAGTATTCATACTTTCAGATTCCTTCAGACGGTTTGTTTGGAATTCTTAAATTGCACATGGGCTCACCTGATTTCACTCTCCCATTGGTTGCGATGGCAGAGATTGAGAGGGCAGTTGTTGTGGTCACTGACACAGCCAGCGCTATGATAACCAAGCCCAACACTAAAAAAAGAAACAAGTTAGGACTCAGTATTATAATATTATGATCATGGAGGTCTTTAATTATTATATCAAAGTCCTGTTTAAAGGGCTTGAATAAGAATGTTTTACATGTAGTGTATCAATTTTCTTGTCTACAGATCTTATACAATTCTGTTATTATGATACATTTTGTATTTATTTTGTCATATATCCACAAAAATGGGCTAGGTAAGTACTCTCAACTTATATAAATTTGTTTTATTTATTGATTTTTTACATTTCTCATGCCAATAGTATGAAGTACCTTCTGCAGGATGAAAAGGAACAAATTTTAATCAAGGTGAGTATTTTATTCAACCCCAAATTATCATTCTCTGTTTGATTGTATATCTACTATCGAGAATTAACAGCCTAAATCAATGTTATATATACCAGAGTTGGCAGCAGAAAGCAGGAATAAAAAGGACCCAATATGCTGAACAATGAATGAATGTTGTCTCACCAATGCCTGCTTGAGAGGTAATCCATGTTAGCCGGAGAAAGAGGATGACACCCCAGATATTCAGCATGCAACGCATCTATGATAAAAAGAAAAGAAAAAAAATGTCTTTTTTGTTTTGTTTTAATTGTTCCTTTTTTTAGTTAGTCTTCTATCCATTTGTATGTTGTAGACTTAAATACACAAAAGCTTTGTTCACCCAGACTGCAATAAACCAGCCAAATCTAGTAGGCGGTTTCCCTGGAGGACCTTGGGGTTCTTCATTTTCATCCTCTGCGGCGGCATCATCTGCGGCAGCCTTTTCTGCTTCCACTTCCTAAAACAATAATAAATAATTTAGAAAATAGATCTGCTAGTTTTCTGAATAGAAATATAATAAAATGTCAGTTTTTGATTAAACTAGTTGCAAAGTTAAAAAAAAAAAACACAACAGTGAGATGTTTTTTCCACAGGTGGAAATCTCACCTCAAATGTTTTGCGCAGAACATCAAGGGAAGGTCTGATTTTGATCTCTTGGTGGGGCAGTGTATTTGCATAATACTCTAACTGTGGTGCCATGTCTATGGTGTTGTAGATAGAAGTTTTTCGCAGCTCCATGTCCTTCTGTCCTGATTCGCTTTTTGTTCCAGTGAAAAAAAGAAAGAAAAAGTTAATAAATAATGAAACCATAACTGTTTGAAACTGCATTTCCTTCAGTGATTGCTAGATTTTCTTTCTTTCTTTTTTTATTTATTAATTTACTTTGTTTATGTTTACATATTTAACAGATTATAGATTAGCTAGTTGAAGTAGGATCAGTGTGATATAATAGTATCATGTAAGACTTAAAAGTGAGAGAATAAATAAAGAAAAAAATCTAGCGTTTAACAAACCTTGACATGCCTGAGATGGTGGAGTTTGGATTTATACTGCTATCAAAATGGTGTGAGGAGTACCTGGGAGGTCCTTCTTCAGGATTTGCCTGGTGAATACCTGGGCCTGACCCTGTAATCTTAGACTTGAACTGCCCCATTGATAGTCTCACTTATGCCTGTTGGAGATTATGGAAGAAAAGATGAATGAGAAAGACTGATTCATTTTTATTTATTTATTTATTTATTTATTTATTTATTTTGCACAGACAAAAAATATTTTAATGAAATTGAAATCTTGGAGAAAGACTTTTGTTTAAATCATGTAAGTATAATGTAATAATGTCTAATGAAGATATCTAAAAAAAAAAAACCCAAAAGAACAAGCAAAAAACAATACTTACAGTTTTCCCCTGATAAAAGAATCAACAGGTCAAAAATGTCCCTTTATTCATCTCATAGCTCAGCTTTTATACTCTGCATGAAATAGGTGGGATATGTGACATCCCCTCCCTCTGTTCTGAAAAAGAAATCTACGCAATTTGCTTTACAGGAAGTGTGACATCTAACAAAAACAAAAGATCTATTTATAATATTGGTAGGAAATAAAAGAGAAAACAAAAATATGTAGTCATGTTTCTCGCCAACATTTAAAATATAAACATAAATGAATGATTATTTTTATTTTATTTAAGTTTAACATGAGTAATACCTGACCAACCTGAATCACCCTACAGTTTTTCAGAATTGTTGGGACCTCATGAGCTAGCAGTGTTTCCAGCTTCAATCAAAATTGAAGCTATTAACCATTTTGTATTCTTTCCTTGCCTGTAATTCATAAATATACAACATTTTCTTGCATACACTACTGACTTTGTGATTAAGAGCTGCCTCAGTGTTTTAAAATTGAAACAAAATTTTGGCAGCATGGCCTTCATTGTGGCAGTCCAATGCTATAGTTGACCCTGCTTTGATTTCTTGTGCAATCAACATTTTCATAAGGTCATTGTGCCCTTGTCAAAAATGATTTGTTACAACCACAAGCAAGAAAAAGGTAGATGTATATCGGGACCTAATCTAAAATGAGATATCAATATAAAGCAACTGTTGCTGTAATTTGGTGCTATATAAATAAAATTGAAATGAATTGAACAAATCCTTACCAAAGATTCCTCTTAGTCCAAAATATGAATTATGTGCTGCTCGTGTGTCTAATATTTCCCTAGGTTGAATTGTTTTTTGAGGACTTTAATTTGCACATTTGACATTACATTACTAACACTTTATTTTCCACATAGCAGAAAAAACATGTCCCATTGCCCTTGCGTCCTGACCATCATATATTTGAGAGGAAAAATCGAGGGTTCATATATCTTTTGTTGGAATTAATAAACATTGTTTGACCCTAATTTCAATAGTTTCATCACGAACGTCCGAAAAATTTAAAAACCTTCAAGGCAGGTGTTTTAAAATACTAGTCTAGCCTTATTTTTCGGAGGGATTTCTCAAGATGATGCTGCGCTGCTTAAACAATTTCAGATACAAGCACTGAAGAGGAAAATCGGTGACTGATAGTGCTGCTGTCATGGTGTGCTGTGCGCAGACAGGAGAAGAGGACCCAAACACTGGACTCACAGTGAACGAAGAGAGGCAGCTTTATTGTGCTGTGGCAGAAACTCCAAACATAAACTCACAAGAACAAACCTAAACTGAAAACATAAGGCTAATAACAAAACATTAAAAAAACCTGAAAACGAGGGAGCACGGAAGCAAAACACACAGCTCATTAAGGGTAAGACGCAACGCTGAACACTGGAGGACACACACTATAAAGACACAGGCAGGATCATGAGGGAATGAGGAAGAGGTGGGAACACAGCCGGGAGAAATTAGACCTAATGAGACAGGAAGCGAAACTGGAAACAATGGCATAAGACATGAACCTTCAAAATAAAACAGGAAATCCACAGACTGAACACAGAGACACAACTCCGACAAAGAATCACATTATTGTTTCTAGGATTAATTTTAAAGTTATTCTTTATTATTAAATCACTTTAGTAACATGAAGTGTTTCTATTGCACTGTAACTATTTTCACTTTTATTTGTTGTTATCTTCATGTATATTAATCTTTCTTTAGTAACATATAATTATTGTTCGCTTCCGGAGACAAGTACCATCTTCTGTGACAAACACTAGAATTTTGTTGTATACCTTTTTTCCCTTCAAGCTGTGGATCAGGAAACAGCTGTGACCATTTCTTCCATGTAATTTGTGAGCAACCGATTTAGGGAGTCATTGATGTGCTTTTGCTTTAGTAGTGGAATGCATTTTTTTAATGTGCTCAGTCATCCCTGAACCAAACTCATGTCCGAGACTAAATTTGTATTAATTATGCAGTTCAATAGTATTTCAGCATGTTTTATTTCTTTCCAGGTGTGCTTTCACTGCATTGACAATATGTTTGGGATCAACAACATGTTGAAAAATTAAGTTGTTGCCAATCTTAATTTCTAGATGGTATTGGATACTGTTGGTAATTCGGAATAACTTTTTTTTTCTCCCTGTTTACCTTATGTTTAGCTTCTTGACTGCCATACTTCCATTAAACCATTTCTTGTGAAGCTTCAGCAAACAGCACGTGTTAAATAATGGCATTGTGTCATATTTTTATATTTAAGGACAAACTGCACACCATAAGATATGCCAAGTCTTCAGCTAAGTCCCAGCTGAGTCATATTATTTGATGCATCTCAAATTGTATCCCATCTGTGGCATTGTATGTAGACTCAGCTAAAAAACATGTAATTGAACTGTCATGGTCCGTGGCCCTGTGTCTGAGGAGTGTGTGTGATGCCCTGGTGGCCACACCCCCGGGCTGGGCCATCACCTGCACACCTGTTTTCCATTCTGGACAATTACCTGGAGGACCGTTTAACCCTGCACTGACGGATGCTCCACGCCTGTCCGTCAATCACCCCTCAGTGGTTACGATCCAGCATCAGCGTCTGCAACCTGCCTGTCCTCCTGCTTGCTCGGATCACCCTCAGATTTTTTTTTATCTTATCTTATCTTAGATTCGCTTCATAAAATTCATTGTGAAACAGTCATTCATCTTTCAGGAATTGCACCCAAACAAGAATGTCCTGGACTGTTAGAATTATTTTTTTTCAGGTTCATCAGCATCTTTTTACAGGACAAATTTGTACAATTAACAATTGAAGAGAGACAGACCTTTATAATATTTAAAAATGTAGGTGTTCCCTACAGAGAAACTGCAAAGAAAGTCAAAAATTTAATTACGTTAAAAAAAATCAGGAAGTGAGAATCAATTGAAACAGGAATTTAGAATAGACAGTTTACCCAATTTAACATAAACCAAGAGCACAAGCAATGCCAGAGACACCTTTACTTTGAGATTACATCTAACTTTCATGCTATTTGTATAAAGACTAAAAATGCGCTAAACTTTAGTCCTTGTTGTGAAAATGCCATCGTATGAATGAGACATTTTCCATAACGGGGGAAAATGCACACTGCATTGCACTGACATGGCAATACATTTTCATGAACCAAAGGTCATCCTATCAGTCCAGGAGATTTTGTGTGGGTGCAGTTCCTCAAAAGATGAATCACTGTTTCATTATGTAATGCATACAGTGCAAAAGTCATCCAATTCCAGTTTGTATTTTTGGTTCAAGAATATATATATATATACACAGGATAACAGTTATTATTAATAATAATAAAAAAGATAATAATAATAACAAAAATGTCACCTCCAGTACTGGTTTGATCAGAAGGAACTTTCTATGTAAAAGCCAAGAGCATTTCCAGTTAGTGTTTTTAAAAAGTATTGTTCAAAAGGACAGAGGATGGTTATTTGATCTCCTTGTTGTTGTTTAATCATTAACCCTGACCTTCAGTAAGAAATGTGACGCCTGCTATTCTTTAGATGTTGTTCTAGATTCTTTTGTGACCTTGTAGATAAATCATCAATGCACTCTTAGAGTTATTTTGATTGGCTACAGCTGCCAATCAAGGCAAGTTCTCAGGCAAATTATAGATATGAAAATGACCAACAAAAAAGCAAACTGGGAGCAGTCAGGTATAATATTTTTTTTTTCAAAAGAAAAGTGAACAGAATACAATTAACAGATTAAGAATAGTTTAGCTATCGGCAGCTGTTAAAGACAGCAAGCCAGTGATAGCTGTGACACTATGTCTATCCAAATAGATGTATGGCTATTAATTTCAGATACAGTCAGAGAGAGCGAAGCAGCAGCAGCTCCCTCCCCAATGTTGCCTAGATGTGCCTAAGGTGAGCTCATTTGATTTTTATTGAAGGTGGAACATGAACAGTTCATTACTGGCCACCATTATGAGGAGAATATAGTTCCTGTTTTAAATCAAATTCAAAAGAGAAAAAAGAAAATCAAAAGAGAGATATGTCTCAAGAAGGGAAAGGGGTCCCCACAGAAGCCGCTTATGTGCAGATTTTTTCTTTAACTTTAAAAAGTTAAAACTTTAGAGACAGAGATACATGTGTCAACTTAAGTAAAAAGTGAAAGTGAAAAAAACAGCCTCTTACTCCAAGTAAAAAAAAAATTAGCTCCTTAAAAGTATTTTTACCATTTGTTTTTAAGCACATGTATGTGAAACTTGTGCTATATTAATATAAAAACAAAACAACTTTAGTATACAAGAATACAAATGTTATTTAAATCTGGATTGTACTTCTAATGAATGTGGTCAGAGTGAAGCTGTTATGTGGGAACCAAGCAGTAAAAGAAACAAAAAGATTCTGTTGTCTGCATTGTAGAGGCTGATTTATACCTCCACATCTAATCACAAAACTTGTACAGTCCAGGGTTAAAGTGCGATTCAGCAGGTGGGGAAACCCAAAGATCTTTTAGGGTTAAACACATGTCACATACAGATCCAGTATATGATTACAAATGACAACATGACATGTAATCTTTAAGTCTGCAGTTTATCAAGCATGAATGAGCACTCCTTACATTTAAATCTAAGCTCTCGGCTTCCTTTCCTGTCCTTTCTTTTGTTACATCTTTCTCTATCTCTGAGTAAAGTTCTCTCACACTCTTTTCTCTCCTTGTGTGGGAAGTAGTCTGGCTCAAGTGTCAAAGAAGGGGGTAAATAAGAAGAATCAGCAGACATTTTGGGTTTGCAGTAGTGATGGTCCATTTGAAGTTGAAGCGCATGTGTCCAAAAAAACAACACACTCCTTCAGAAGCACTGTGTCGAGGCTTGGTTCGTTTGGCGAGAGCCACATGATCAGTGACGTCTGAACCTTCATTCAGTATATCACAGGCTCAGTACCTGATTCAGTTGTTTATAAGGGAGTTTTTCCTTCCCACTGTCACAAAAGTGCTTGCTCATATAGGGGCCATTTGATTGTTGGGTTTTTCTCTGTATCTATTATTGTAGGATCTACTGTACAATATAAAGCACCTTGAGGCGACTTTTGTTGTGATTTGGTGCTATTTAAATGAAATTGAATTGAATAGAATAAATACAGCTAAATGGCTCTGTTAAAGTTAAAGATAGTCTTGAAAAATCACTTCGTTACCTGAAAACAGACAAAAGAAAACATAATGCTGCACCTGTTGGTTTAGCCTGGGTACATCAGACATGACATCATCACCCCTTTGAAGTCCAGAAACTCTAGACTGGCATTTATTTGTTTATTTATTTAAAACAAAACAAAACAAAACAAAAAAACTGAAGCTTTTATCAAAACGTGATTCAACACTAGGAGCTTTTCAACACAGTCCTATCTGGTGCCATCTGGCAGCCAAAAATATGCAGAGCCACTTGAATCTGTGCCATATGGCCATCACTAACGTGTGGAGAATAATGTGCTTAATGTGTAAAAAGTTAATACTTATGAGACAAGTAATGAGTATTCCAACTGTTAACCCACTTTGTCACACTGTGAGATACAGCAGCTGAACCTTTAGGGTTAACACACTAAACTAAAACAGTTTGTGTGTGTTTTGCCGACGCTTGTTGAGCTAATAGAAATGTTGCATTTGAAATTACCTACCACTTAAAAAAATACTTTCATTATATTTGCTGCTTTTCAGTAGCACTAACTATATGCTGAGGTACCACAGCCACAATTTACGAGGACCTGCACTCGTTCCGGCTTTAATCCCTGAGTATAAGACTAGAAATTACACTAGAAATATTTGTTTAAAAAAGGTTGAAGCTCAAGTACAGGTATCTCTACTACTCAAGTACAGATACCTGAATATTCTACTTAAGTATAGTAACGAAGAATTTGTATTTTTATACTTCCCACTTCTGTGTGCTACACTTTTGCGATGGACGACAAAATCCTTTAGAGATGGGGTCTTAAAATATTTAACATCTCTATCACTTCGAAAAGATTTACCATAACTTAACCAGCTGTGCAAATACTCCAGTATCATACCATTCATAATTTATCCCAACCCCAGGATAAAGAGGTTGGATGAATGCAGTCTGGACTTGATGGATTAGAATCATTGGGTCAGAGACACGATAAAAACACAGAGTACCTGCTTTATAATCCAGGAAGACTCCAATCTTGCAGAGACCAGAGCCGGGCACCTTGGTTTCTACATTATTGTGACAGAATAAAAAGCCATCTGCTGTGCAATCTAAACTCCAGGACTTGTCATTTTTGCCAAACTGTGACTCATCTGATGTCCGGCTGATGTTTTTATAAGCCACTGCTACAGACAGAGTGCGAGCATGTCCCTCTACTTCCCAGTAACACCGGTCTACCAAACCCTCTCTGCACAGCACCTGGGGAAATTTAGTGAACCTGTCCAGATGCGCTGAAGCCTGGCCGGGTGAAGGCCTCATCCTGCGATTCTCGCATATCAGGTGGAGATAATGATAGTTTGAGGTCCCATCCAGTGTGAGGGGATAAACATCTGGCAAAAAATATAGCAAGTACGATCAATATTACCACTATTTTCAACTGTAACGGACTACTATATGATTTTATAATGTTTCAAGTGAATTTCATACAACGTAAAAGCTCTTCTCTGCTGCTGGGGGCTGGAGGTAGTGAGAAGTCAACATATGAAACTGTGAAGAAACAAACTGGAGTTATTAAAAAAAACAGCACTGGGTATCTATGAAGCAACTCATCCACAACGCTTTCTTTTTTCTTTTTACATTTCCAACTGTTACCTGTGGCTGAGATCCTGGGCCATGTTTCTTTCAGTGACATTTCCAGTTTATCTTTGAGCTCAGACAAACACTTGCTTATGTCTTTAAAGGAGCGTTGAGGAGGAGCTCCAGGTGAGCCATCTGGAGAATCCCAGGAAGTGGAGAGATGCTGTGAAATATAAGGAGAAGACAAAAATGGTCATTTTTTTAAGCAACCCATCATAAATCTAAACGATCTCATGCAGGTCTAGAATATCTGGTGTAATGTTCATTTTGGCCATTTGGATTGAATTGTGTTCAGTTCTCTCTTTTTTTAGGCCTTTGAAATCAGGTATTTTACAGGAAAACCTTTGCTATGTTGTAAGCAGCTATACCTGCATCAGATATATGAGGTCATCTGCATCCGAAGCTTTTTCCAGTTCAGCGTATGTTCTCTTCAGCTTTGTAATCTCCTCCTTCAACTGAGACTGGTGGTCCTCCACCTGAGCGGTGGCAGTTTTTTCTTGGGCTTTAATCAGCTGCTTCACCTCACTCTGTTTTCTTTGCATGGAAGAGATGAGCTCATCGAAGATCTTGTCACAGTCGTTCAGGGAAATCAGAGCAGAACTCTGTTGGCACATCGCAGATCTGTTTTTAGTTTAAAAGTTTATCTTTATTCAGTTAAAACAACAACCCGACTTGATCTTTGAACCCCACAGACCGAGACAATTGTAGAGGATATGTTAAGCATTAAAAGACGCTAAGTTAACAACCACCTGTGGTGCAGAAATCACACCTAAAGACAGAATGCTAAACTAAAAGTCATCAGATGAGAGGAATCAGTGTTTGTTGATGCTGCTAATGAATTTGCAGATCAACAGCATGTCTCTCAAAGTAAAGGTAAAAAGAGCAAATCAAAAACAAATGCTGAGAGCAGTGCTCGTTTGTGCCCTCAAGTGGGTAAAAATCTTATTGCAAGTTTGATCAGAGCTAAATACTGAGTGTTACGATTCGGTGTTGTCAGTGTTTTGTTTTAGGCGTGACTGTTATGTTTCCTGTTTTACTTTGAAGGTCTGTTGTATCTCAGTGTGTTCAGTTCACCTTTTTTTTGTCTCGTCAGGTCTGATTTGCACCAGCTATGTTAACGCACTAAAACTCATTTCAGCAGCTATCTTATTCACCCAGCAGATGAATGCACATATCAGATCTGAAAACATCGCTTTTCCACACCTCGAGACTCTCCTTGGCTTGGCTCAGTTCTTTCAGCTTCTTCTCTTTCTTTTCGACTTTGTCCTGGATTTTCCTTTGATTTAAAGCCAGCTGATTCTGCAAGAAGGCACGGTTGCATCCAGTGAGTCATTTAAATATTAGTAATCAGTAATGTTATTAACGAGTACGTCTGATGGCCACGTGTCGTTTGGGAGCACAGAAACATTTGGACTTTGAAAGGTAGCATTATGTGCTTGACTCCTTGCCCCCACCTTTGCCTTATCCTTGAGTGCTGAAGCGGAAACACATCCGTGGCCCTTGTGCTCATCCACTATGCACAAAGAGCAAACAAGCTGCTCATCTTGCTCACAGTAGAGCTCCTTTAACTTGCTGTGCTTGGTGCACATTTTCTCCTGTATTGACACTGTAGCTGCCACCAGCTCGTGCTTCTTCAACACAGCAACACTGTAGTGAGGCTCGAGGTGAGTGGGACAGTAAGATGCCAAGCAGGTCAAACATGACATGGTGGCTTTGATTCTGATCCCACAGCAAAAGTCACAGGCAACATCTGTTGGGCTGGCATAGACCAGAGAAGGACATGTTGACTTTGTGCTCTTTAGCTTATTCACAACCTAGATAGAAAGACAGAAACTGTTAGGATGTGCTGTAAATAGAAATAGAATATTTTTGAGGCTGGCTTCATAAGGAAGTGTGTTCACATAAAAATGGTTAAAATGCCCAACTCTGGAGCTCAAACAAATATGTTGGTACAAACTGGTACAAAACCAGTTCCACTTGTTTAATTATATACACAATTACAGGAAAAAGGGGGGATGATTCTTATGTAACAATACGACTAATACGTTATCTGTGAACTACAGAGTCTGTGCTAAGTTCATTTCTGTCCCCTCACCTCAGCCAGCATGTTGTTCCTCCTGAGAACAGGCCGATGGCTGAATGTCTCCCTGCACTGAGGACAGCTGTATTCACCCTTCTCCTCCTCTCCATCCCAGCAATGCTCAATGCAGCTTTTACAATAACTGTGTCCACAATAAATGGTGACGGGTTCTTTCAGAAGATCCAAACACACTGAACAGGAAAACTGAATGCAGTCCAGGTCAACTCCATGTGGCTCATCTTGCTGACTTTGCTGCTTGCAAGACATTTTAGTTGTGGTATTATTAAGAAACAGAACTGGACTGTCCCTGAGTTGACATATCTCTGAAGATCTTGGCAAAGAAAGCAGCAACTGTCTGCTTTCAGCAGAAGTGGAGAAGTGGAAACAGGTCACGTGTTGAAGTGCAGTCAATGTCCACCCACTTTAATTGTCGTCACATTTGCGTTAATGATTCATTTTAAAGGGGAAGATAGAACAAATTAGTTTATCAGTCATAGAGACTAGCGAGCATACAGAGTCTATAATTCACTGCTGCATTTGCATCTTTCAGAGTCTGAGGAATGCTCTTGGGGAAAAATAACAAGGCTTACATTGTAGTTTTACACTGTAGTACTGTTTGTTGCCTTGTTTGTGTTGTCCATTCATTGTTGTGTCATCTCCTACACATTACTCTTAACCACAAAGTAACCTTAAAATAACCAAGAATCAACTGCATGTTTTTAAAACATGTGTAACAATAAAATGCAAAAAATGCAAACTCACCCTTTTTTTTTCTCAAGTTCACAAAGGAGTCGTTCTAAAGACTGACGGTTGCCAAGTCTGTAAGGGTGAAAAAAGCTAGCAAAACAGATTTGGAGAAAAATTAATCTGCAATGAGATTAAATGCTGGTAGATTAAGCTAAAAATACAATAAAACAATGTAAATGCAGGATGACCCAAACTGTACATCCAGGACAGATTTGCTCATTAATAAAATAAGGTAACTATCCAAGTCTTGCACAGTAAATATATGGACTACGAGTACAAACCACAAACATCCAACATTTCATGTACTACTAACACACTGCTCTTGCCTTTCTTTACTCTTAAGATCCAGAACTTGACCTATCACCGCCTTGTGGGTGTTTCACATATGCAAACATACTTAATAGACCTTCTTATTGCTGGTAGTGGCATCTCATGACACACATACATTTATTTTTTTGCTAGAGTTCCCCCCATTGATCAGAGCATGTAAGTGCAGTATAACAATTCTGCCTAAAAGCAGTATTCTCAAAACGAAAGAAGAACTGGACAAAATGGAAAACTCCCCAGAAATTAGTTTTTTTTTTATTGCTTAAAAGCAACAGGGACAAAACGGGGTCAACAATATCTTAGAAATATGTAACATGACTAAATATTCCATGACAAGTTAACAAAACCAACTCCCACCACAGTTTTTTTTGACTTGTTGACTTATTTGTCTGTGATGCTTCTCGGTCTGAGACATTCGTCCGCAGGAAAAAAATATGACTACAATGCATTAAGGCCCTCAGAAGATTATGCAAAAAGTCCACAAAAAAGGTAACTGCTAGATAAGTATTCAACAATTTGCCAACAAACCTGATTCCAAATAATTTAACATGTTCTCTTCGATGTATGTAGTATTATTATGCAGTTATTATGTGTAGTGTAAAAACATCAAGAAATAATAAGATGCTTTTTTCCTTTTCACTACCTGGATAATAATTATAAAAATCTCACTTAAACCTGATAAGAGACTTTCCTTTCTCCACTATAGCCTCACACGCTCTCTGTGCAGCTTCTGATGGTGACTTAGCATCATTAGCTGCTTCATTTCCAATGAAGCCACCAAATACTCCTCCTGCTGCTGCTGCTGCCACACAAGCTGCTCCAGCAACTCCTACAGCTGCTTCTCCTGCTGCTGCTGCCGACACTCCCATTAATGCTGGAGCCTTTTTTACAGCGTTCATTAACATTACGTTATTCATGGCTGTGACAGCTAATCCAACCATTGCTGCTACACCAAAAAAAGCACCGAGCAAAGCTCCTGTTGCAATCCCTGTCAGTTTGGTGAGAAAGCTGTTGCACACATCAGTTTTAGCCTGCTTTCTGATCTCTTCTGCAGTTTTATCTGGCATTGAGTACGAAATGTGCTCGACCTGTTTCTGTATTGCTGTCTCCACATGTTGCAGCATTTTATTTGTGTAGTAACCTCCGTTTTTTTCCACCACCATTTTTTCTATTGTTTTTAGCAACTCCTCCCGCTGGAACTGGTTGCTCCTGTAGTTGTTTGGCTGGTTGTTGTTCCAGTGTTTGCTATCAAAGACGTGACACCGACCACCACACTTTGACACCAGATCACTCAGATTTTTGTTCTGACTGACAAAATCTTCAATTTTTATATTTTTGTCAAGCTGGTCACCGTGAGTGAAAACAACGACAGCATATTTTAGAGCTTCATCTGAGAAATACTGAACTATCTTAGTGATGACAGCCTGCTCGTGCTCTGTGAACCTACCCACTTGAAGCACAATAAGAAAAGCATGAGGCCCAGGAGCACACTCTGTCATACAACTCATTATCTCAGGCTTCAGATCTTCCTCAGACCTTCCTGTGTCAAAGAAACCAGGGGTGTCGATCAGAGTGATGCTTCTTCCACTGACTGTTTTGGTTTCTGTTTGGCATTTCATTGTCCCAGAGTTTGGAGAGTCATAAGTGGCAAAGAGCTCCTCTCCAAGAATGTTGTTACCCAGGTGACTTTTCCCAGCTCCAGTTTTTCCCAGCAGGACCAACCTCATCGTTGTTGACTCTACAGGAGAAAGTTGACTCTGTTAAGTACATTTGTCTCTCTCTTGTTTTTTTTTCTTGTTTTTTTTTTTTTGCTGCTGCAGAGACGTTTCTTTGTGGTTTGAGGTTTTGAACAGTAAAGCAGTAGATGGTTTATAGTTTTACTTACAAAAAACACACTTCTAAATGAAAAACTAGTGTTAGAGCCAAAGCGGTTTACTGAAAGAAGTATCTGGTAATTAATAAAAGGAAATCATTAGGAAGGATAATGAAATATTGGACTGTCTGAATAATTTGAGTTTGAGCTATTGCCCTCAGGCTGTTAATTTAGTAAATTTAGATGCATTACTCCAGCACTTTGGGTATTATTATTTTTCATTCTTTCTTCGTATTCTATACTCACCTAGATCGTGGACCTTTTGGTGAACATGTTGAGTGAAATTGTCATTTTGGAAAACATCAAATGCCTGCAAAGACAACAAAGTATCAACATCCATAGCAATCCTTGTAAAAACTCATCAGATGGAAACGCAGATGAAAAAAGTAATTATTATTATCTTGTGTAGTTCATGTAATAGAGTGAAGCAAAAACGATTCATTACAAAGTAAAATGAAACAAATATTGATATGGAACGTAACTTTACTTTTCCAAAGTGTTTTTCAACACTCAGCACACTAATGGTTAGGAGCCAATATTTAAGGAAAAGTGCTTTGTCATTACCTTGTATGACTCCTCGTCATCGGGGTGAATGACGATGTGGATCAGGAGTGGTGTGATGCCCACCTGCTCCTCTTGAAATACATGAACTTCCTCCTTTAAAGCCCTCACCACCTCACTGACAGGAAATTGCAGGGCCATCCCAGCACCGAGGATGGGAAGAGCGACAGATCTGAATCCTTTCTTCTCACAAGAAGATAGGATTGTGTTGATGCCCATTCGAAGAACCTATAATGGGTAAAAATACTGCATTATTACAAATAGCTAAGTTAAAGTTGTCCTCACAAACAAAGAGAAAAACAAAATCCCTCCTTTACTATCTCACCTGGACTGCAACTCCGTCTGGGTCACCATCAAAGGGAACAAGATTGAGGAAGAAGACTGCATTAGACTGAAGTCCAGGTAAGCCCTCCAGCAGTACTGAGTCACCAGGCATTGTTTCATCTTCTGCTTCCTTTCTAAACCTTGTGGTCAGCTGTGGTCCAGCTACTTCAAACAAAGCATTTCCAACACGGGTAGAGAGAGGATCATGGCCAACCATAGGAGAAACCAAAGCATCCACCTAGGAGAAGAGCAGGAGATTTAGAAAATGTGTCTATCGTGAAGTGTCGTCATCACAGCAACATGTCTCACCTGTTGGCTCTCAAT